TTGACAGCTTAATAAATTAGGGTCTTCCATGCAACTTGTTCAGACCATTGTGTTAAACAGCACTAAAATGTGCCAAACCAAATGTTAGTCCAATTCTTTTTGGAATCCATTTATAGCCTTGGCTTCTGCCATGGCCTTTCCCCTGGCAGGGAGCACAGCCATTCACTTGCATCGTGCTGAAACAACTCTTTTATATGAAAATTTTGCGGGATGCAAGGACGGGGGGTCCTTGTAGCAGGAAACAAGGTCACCTGTCTTGTACTCTAATTAAGTTGAACCTAGAGTTTTTGTCAACTGCAAATATACTCAAGAAATTCCTCCTGCTCCCCCTTACATCCCTGCAGCCATTGAGTATTTTGACATGGGTGTAAAAGCTGCTGTGTTTGAATTTAGAAATTGGCCAGTGGGATGAGAATGTGCAGCTGTGGAAGGCGTGAGTGCTCTGGCTTCGTCACTGCTCCTCTTGGGCCCACCTATTTCTGTGCGTCTTGTGGGAGCTTAAGGGGATAAAAATGGCCAAGGTAATTAGTAGATCTGGCGGAAATCAGCCAGTCAGGCTCAGAAATTATTGGAGGTGAGAAGACAGTAGACAAGCAGATATAATCTGATGTGATAGAACTTATTTCCATAGAAAATAAAACAAATAGAAGATTTATTATTATTCAATTTAAAAAAAAATACTTATTCCAAGACCTCAGCTGCAGTGGCTGGGTGTAGTAGTCGTCACCTAAATCATCCAAAGGCATGCAATCTAGAGAGGCAACTAGCCAGGGACAGTGGAATTGCATACCACTTAGGTGCTTTACCTGCTGCAAAGACTACCTGCTTATATAGAAAGTTGATTATTTGGGGGTAGAATGGAAGGTGGCTTTTTTTTTCTTCTGGGATTCTTATGATGCAGCATCCCAGTGGACTCTGAGGGGTATTTAACTTATAGGGAAGGGTGGCCAAATTCTCTCCTAGCTAAATACAGCATCTGCAGCAGTGTGGAATGTGTGTTGTACAGCTGTGAATGTTCCAGGCATTCATCGTGTCTCCTTTTTCACACAATAGCTTCTATTTATGGGTTTTCATCAAGTTGGGCTCATGCATTCAACATATCTTTGTGTGTTTTTCTTTTTTTTCTTTTCTTTCTCTCTCTCTTTTTTTTTTTTTTTTTTTGCTTTTGTTTTTATAGGTTTGTAGAAACTCCGAGCCACTTCTCCTGGAAGGAGAGTTACTACCGGTCGGCCATGTCCCACGGCTCGCAGCCCAGGGAATTCCTCAGCCCAGAGGTGCTCCAGCATATCTGGGACTTCCTGGAACAGTAAGTAGTCCTTACGTGGAGCCTGTGGAAGAAGGCATTTTGGGACAGGACATCTCTGTAATTAGGTTGCTCAGGGAACTGATGCTGGGGGTTTTGGAGTCTTCTGTACCTGCTGATTAGAAGATGTGGGTATGAGCCTGTGATGACTGACAGCTCTTGAGCTCTCAAGAGGTTCTTCATCACGCTAAGAGGAACAGATGCAGAGATGACCAGTGACGCTGACTTTCTTCAAGACCTTTGGTTGCTGAGCTGACTGCTTTCCACCGCATGCTCACTTAAGGTGGACGGTTGGCATTTTCCCCTAAGGACGTGGGGTCATTACTCTATGTCCAGGCTGCATGGTTTTCCTCCTTTGCTGGTGCCAGGGAGGGAGAGGAGGTGGAGATGGTGCAGAGTTCACTCTGTCAGGTCCACTGAAGGAAATAAAACTGACTCCATTCCCATTCCTGACTTGCCATGACTGATGCTGGGACAGTTACTGCTATAAATCCTCCATGAATTCTGTCTTTGTGATTTAACTCCTGTGCTCTTACCTCATTTTTCTGCTCAGGCAAGTGAAATGTCCCTCCAGGCCCTGTCCTGTTCAGGGGCTGCTGTTAGCATGGCAGGTGATGAGGTAGTTGTTCACTAGTAATTACTTACTTTGTCCTGAGACTGGTTCGTGGTCATGCCTAAGTCCTGGATGACACCCTAGCACATGGTGGGGGAAGAAAACAAAATTTAGCCAGTTTTAACTGCATTACTCTGTTCTTTTCAGGCCAATATGCTCGGTTCAGCCGATCGATCTGAACTTCATTGATGGCCCATCTGAAAATGGCCCTACAAACAAAATAGAGATTAGCATGGACTGTGTTCGGGTGCAGGACACGGAGCTGAATGACCCAATGTGGGTGAGTAGTGAGAAGAACTTCCTTAACCTTTGGGGACAGATGAGGAGTTTTTGCAGGAGCTACTCTTGCTGTGTTGCCCCGGGACCATCTTGTCCCTCTTGGTGGAGGAGCTGTGGCTGCTGCCTCTGACCAAGGAAGTTCCTTCTTGCTTTGCCTGTTGTGTCCCACCCACAGAAGCTGGTTGGGAGCATGGCTCTGCCAAGTTACTCTGGTGGTGAACAGTGGTGTTTGTACATGTGGCTAAACGGGACGGCGTGTGACCCGTGGAAAGGCGTCACTCCTCTGTGCCTCCTCAGGGCTGCAAGGGGGAGCAGGCTGACTTCTCACCTGTTCTTCCTCTCCTGCTGCAGCAATGGCAGGAGAGAGGGATGAGGCAGCTAAACAGGCAGAAGAGCTGAGGAGTCTCTTGCACTTGCCTGGCTGCTCAACTGTCTCTGCTCTCTCCCTGCTTAGGGCTAGTTTATGTGGCCTCAATGTTAAAATAGTTGATATTCTGGGCACAGTTGCAATTTTGATGACTAAGGGCTGGGGCTTGAGGATGTTCTTAACTGTTTTTTTTTTTCTTGAAGGTCAGGTATGAATGAAAACTTGGTTTCATATTATGGTTTTTTCCTCCTGTGTCTCTAGGTAGGCAAAGCCAGAGAGTGTTTGTAACAAGTCTTGGTCGTGGGTGTCTTGCCAGTATGGCTCAAGACTGGAATGCAAATGAGGCACTGGTGGTTGCTGGTTCATTGCCTTTGGCACAAACTGACCGGCTCTTTCTTAGCAATAGCCCTGGTGAAGAAGCCAGGTGCTATTCTTGCAGGCTGGAGCAGGAGGTATTTCAGGAGTTTGAGCTGTTTGTGTCCTGTTTCTGTTCTTCCTGGGTTTTGTATACTTTGGAGTAAAAATCATGTACAGCTTGAAGTTTGTGTTGATGTCTGTAAATTTTCTTGTTCCTCTGTGTTTCCATCCTGAGAAACTGTGTCAGTTAATTCCCTGGCTAATCAACCGTCATTTTTAATGTGTTCAACCAAGGCATGTTGGCGGTCTGCATCCTGGCAGTGTTTGTAACCTGGAGGATCGCATCTGCAAGGGAAGAGCCCCCAGGTCATGCTGATTGCAGTCCCCAGTGCCAGAAGGTTTGACCTGTTACTGCCTCTCTGGTCTGACTGCTGGGGAGACTGCGGTGCTCTCCTCTTTCCTTGCAAGATTGCAAAGGGTAAAGAGGCCGCTCTCAGGTTGGGTATCTGCTCAGCTAATGTGGTGAAGCTACTCTGAGTGTGCAAGGAGAGGTGACTGATGTCAAGGCTGGTTATCTTTTGATTCTGCATTCAGGTTGGGCGCAGGGGGATGGTGTGCAAGCCTTCAGTCAGCATCTGGATCCGAAAGGCCACTTCTCAGCTTTTTCCAATGCTGTAGCACAGCTCCAGCAAAATGATGTCTCTTCAATAGCTAGTCCAAAAGATTCTCCGTGTTTAGAGGGGCTCCTACTTTTTGAAATAGGTCGTAATGTTCTGTTTGAACTAACTATGTTCTCTTTAAAAAACAATCCCCAACAGTTTAAAAGTCATCAGCAGAAACTTTGCTCCTTCCGTGCCCAAACCTGGACTTGCTGCACTGAGTGCTAGCAAAGCCTCCCCATCTTCAGTTCTTCTGAGCTGTCTGCAGAGCACTGTGGTAGCTGACACGCTCACTTGAGGCTCTTGTTCAGAGTCTCCCTCTCCCGTCTGTGGTGCAGTGGAACATCAGTGGAAAATCCCTTCCTCTTGTCTTCTCTGAGCACTGGGGCTAGGGAAGGAGGGCAGGCAGCTTTTGCTGTGCAGTTACTACTTGCTTATGATGGGTTTGATCCCAGCCTTGCAGGAGGCATTTCTGAAGAGGCTGAGCAGCACAGTGACTTCTTTAAGTGTTTTTTACAGATATGACAAGCCAAAGGAGGAGCGGGGAAATTCCATCCCATCCTCACCCTTACTGTAAGGCAGCGGCTCAGAGTACATTAATGTATGTACATTAATAAATGTTCCAGTTTGTCTTCAGTGGAAGACAGCACCTTCGCTCAGTTGAGTGCTGCACAAAAGCCTTTACAAAGCAAAATATGCATCGCAAACCTGTGCAAACAGTCTGCCTTTTAAAAGGAGGAAAGCTCTTTTTACTCCCCTTGCCGCCACCACCACCTCCCTATAAATTTGCAAACATCCCTGACAGGTGACAACTCCCCCTTGCAGAGAAGTCCGTGTTTGCTTTGCTGTTTCTGGGGCTCGCAGCCGCTGCAGCTTGCATTGGCAGAGAATGTGTAGCCTGGGGCAAGGTGTTTGCTGTTTGTCGGCTTTAATCTGAAATACCTTACAACCCTCTTCCCCTCCAGCTTCTCTTTTCCTTTGGATAGCTTCGGGGCAAGAGCTCCCCTTGCACCTGTCTCTCCTGTAACCTCAGCCATGTCACTTCTAGACACGAGGTGCCGCACGCAGCTGATTACAGCACAGAGTTGAAGAGGGCAGATAAACACAAAGGAATGCAGTAGTAACAGAGGGGCCCTGGGAGATGAACAGTGAGATCAAGGCAGAGTGCTTTTTATTATTAGATTTGTCTTGGAAAAAGAGCAAGGCCAGCTTTTCTCCAAAATGTACCACTATGTGAGATTTAAATAGGTGCAAAGCAATTAAGACCGGTTTATTTAAAGCAATTGTCCTTCCGTGGACTTTAAGGCAATCCCAATCAGCCTTTAAAATAAGTTCTGTACCTTCTTGCAAATTATGGCTGAAAAGTGAAACTTTCAGCCTCACAAGATGTCTGTCCTTGATCCCAAAAGTTGTGTTGGTGAGAGCTGTGATTCTTTTATTATTTAATTTTTGGGGAGTACAGTTGCTTGTTCACGACAGAGCTGGCAGTGGGGAAGGAGCTACAGTATTCAGAGCAGTGCCTGAAGAAACTTTTCCACCAGTGGGCTGGAAAATGAGCATGAGTCCTGCTCTGCTTAACACCCATCGGTTGTGTTTGTTGCCTTGAAAATGCAACTCTCTGGGGAGAGAGCTGGAGGAGGAGGTTGGGTAACAAGGAAACCCATCTTGTCTGAGCTACATCTCTGTCTCTCGCTGAGCCAAGACCTTGCAGTTCTCATGCTCTTGTTTTTAAGGAAGAAATGTACTTCCTGTATCCCATGTAAGAAAGGGGTAAGAGAAACTGGGGATCGGCACTATCTTGGGATGAAAAGAGCTGGAGGGGACAGGAAGAGGGTTTGTGGGTCTGGTGTAACATTAGACAGTCAGCAGCCTTCCCTGGTCATGTGCCTTGTGACCGGCTCTTTCACAATGTCCTGGGTGGCCCGTCTGTGAGGCTGCCCGGCTGTGCCCCTTCCTCTCCCATGGCGTTAACCACAGACAGGCTGGGAAATCCCGGCAGAGATCTGCCTTTTTGCATAGCCGGAGTGAGGGGCTGGTGGACCCTGTGGGTGCGGAGAACATTCAGTCTCTGCCATGGCCCTGGCGTGGGAAGGAGCTGCGGATGGCCAGGAAGGTAAGCTGAATGTGTCTCCTTGTGGGCCACCTGCCATTTCTTAGCCTTCACCAAAGAAGGTGGTTCCCAGCCTCTTCCCTGACCAAGGATGTAGCCAGCAACTGTGGGGTCTTTGGTGGGATGGTGGCCAGCTCCCTGCATTCAAGAGGAACGCTGGTCTCAGGCCGTCTCCCGCAGTGCTAGAAACCAGGTGATGTTATATGATTTTATATTTTTTTTTCTGACTGCTTACATGCCCTGGAGCTACAGGGAGGAGGGGTCTGAGGACCTCTCTCTAGGAACAAGCGTGTGGCAATGCAATAACCCCTGCATTGCCCTGGAGCCCTTGTGGCGCACTGTCAGCCTGCCGTACCGGGTGCAAAATTGCTTTCCCTCAGAAGTCCTTTAAACTGCTCACCGATGCTAAGAGATACTAGCCTGGACCCAAATGAAGCTGCTTTGGGCTGAGGACTTCAGCGGGCAGCATCCTGATAAAAGTGTTATTTGATGGCCTTGCAGAGTCTGGAAGTCTCCTGCCACCATCCCAGCAGCGTGTCCAGCGCTCCGGGGACCTCACTGGCAGGAGCAGGAGTGCTGTCCTGAGTGATGGAGCAGCTCGTCCCCCTCCCCCTGTACATACCTTCCTTTCATGCCCCTGAGCAAGCTATCCTCCCGCAGCCCCTTGCCTAACCAGTTCAGTGGAATGCCTTTCCCCAGATAGTCACTATGGTCAGAGTTTTCTTAACCTGGATCCGTCCCTCCCCACAAAAGGGAGAGAGAATTCCTTGTCTTTTTTTTTTTTCCTTTAATTTGTCCTTCCTCATCTTCTGCAAATCATTGTGGGGATTTGCTGTGTGTGGCTTGGTTAGGCGCTTGCTGAGCTCCCTGTGGGGTGGGTTTCTGCCCTGGGGATGGTGGTGTGGATGCTTCAGACAGGGCTGTGTCCTTTTGGGTTTGGGTCCTCAGCTTCATGGGCTGTGGGTGTCCCAAGCCTGGTGGCTACAGAAATTTTGGAGGTGCAACATATATGTGTTTCATAGTTTTAAAGGTGATAGCTTCAGCTCTGTAACTTTGCTGTTCTCCTTTATACACAGAGGTGGAGGAAAAACTAGGCTGTAGGAGAGACTGGATGCAGCCCATGTAGGACATGGAAGTGTTGAGGCGCTCAGCCTCAGCCCTCGCACCAATGACACATCTCAGAGTAGGTATTTAATGCTTCCCAATGGGAAGAAGAAACCTTTCGCAGGTTTAACCTTTTGTAGGCTCATGGAGGAGCCACCCCAGCCACCTTGTGCAGGGTACCTTCCCATGCCGTAGCCCAGCGAGCTGGAGAGGAGTGGGACTGAGGCCCCTCGCAGAGCTACCCTGGCCCAAGGTGGCCAGGGAGCTGGTAGATCTCTTCTGCATGGTCTCAGCCTTAGCACTATGTAAATCAGTTCAGTAATTCATATTTGGTGGCCATGCACTGAATTCCTGGGACAGACATAAAAAAAATAAATACCCACTGTCCAGAAGGACATCTGTTG